CCCTCCCGCCTCCCCGCCCGCCCCACTTCTCATTCACTTGGCTCGCACCGCGCAGACGGCGCAGGGAGCACACACCGCCAGTCTGTGCGCAGAGCCGGAGCCAGAGGCCGCGGGGACACCATGCACGCCCCCAACTGAAGCAGCACCTCAAAGCCGCAGCGCCCCGCAGCCCAGCGGATTTCAGAGCTCAGACTCAGAGGAACCCTTGCGGAGAGACCTCCCGGAAGCCCCTTGCAGGACAGTCCTCACCCCGACGTTCCGCTACTGCAGTGCACAGTGGCCCCGGCTCGCCGCGCCATGGAGCGGATCCCCAGCGCGCAACCGCCCCCTGCCTGCCTGCCCAAAGCTCCAGGACTGGAGCCCGGAGACCTACCTGGGTAAGTTGGCACTCCCTGGCGCCTTCAAGCCTCGGCTCCAACCCTACGTTCTGCGCCGCTCTCAACTCGGAGCAGCTTCGGGCGCATCCGGGGGCTCTTACCCGCCAGGGCTCCTGCAGCCTGTGCGCACGCAAAGTCACGACCCTACCTGGCCCCTCTCCCTGCAGGATGGATTTTGCACACATGTACCAAGTGTTCAAGTCGAAGAGGGGAATAAAGCGGAGCGAGGACAGCAAGGTAAGAACACCGCACCTCTCGGGACCCCAGCCCCTGGCGCGCGCAGTTTCCAAGAAAAGTTTTCTCACTTTGAGCTTGGCGGGGGTGTGCACGGTGTGGGATCGGTGGTTCTATTAAATGCTTGGAGAAGAAGGGACAGAAAGTGGTTCTGGGTGTGACTTCGCTGCCCCAACTCTTATCCCGCTGCCGGGTGAGGGAGGAGAGGGGCTTCACTACCCTCTTGGTCTGGCGCCCACCGCCTCCCCGTGCGCCTCGCAGGAGACCTACAAACTGCCGCACCGGCTCATCGAGAAAAAGAGACGTGACCGGATTAACGAGTGCATCGCCCAGCTGAAGGATCTCCTACCCGAACATCTCAAACTTACAGTAAGTGAGAAGCTGGCCCCTCTCCAAGGCAGCTCTTCTGCCCAGAGGGCGGGCGGGGGTCACTCGCCGCCTGCAGGCCCCTCAGGGAACTGCAGAGCAGATGGCCGGCTCGGAGCTGGCGGGTGGCTCTGTTTGGGGGTACCCTTCCCCAGCCCTGGAATTTTCTGGCGTCCTCAGCAAATGAAGTGAGAACCACTTGGGCTTCTCCAAGTTGGCTCCAATACCAACTAGCCTTCGTTTTCAAGAGTCTAAGCCTTTCCTTTCTGGTGATTTTCAGGGTTTTTTAGTTTTGCTGACTTGGGTAAAACCAAGCAACACACAGATTTTATTTACCCCCTTCTCGCCACCTTTTCCTTTTTAAAAATAAAGAGGACTTGTTTTTGGTGCGTGATTTCTATGTCCTGTCCTTTCTTGTCAGTAGCCAACGGCTTGGCAGCCTTTGGTTGGGGAAAGGGGAAAAAAAATGTATTTAAGGAGGAAGTAAAAGGCTGGATGAGCTGCAAGTTATGAAACGGTGTCAGGAAAGAAGCTAGGGGAAGCCTCTTGGCTGCCAGACACGGTAGAAGTCCCTCCTCAGGTTGACACCACGGCAGAGAAATGTTATCTCCGGATTCCCCTGAGTTAAGGTCAGCAGTGGCTGCTGGAGAAATTTATCTGTCAGAGCTGATGTAGCTGCCTCTTCCAAAATGCCTCCAAAGATAAATGACACTTCTTTTTTACTCTTTAATCAGAAGTGTGTGCATATGTATTGACGTATACACACACACTTTTTAAAAACATCATCTCCAAACTTAAAACTAAATGTAGTCAACCAGGAAAGGCTGTTTCTTTCTTTCTTCCTTCCTTTCTTCCTTTCTTTCCTTCTTCCTTCCTTCCTTCCTTCCTTCCTTCCTTCCTTCCTTCCTTCCTTCCTTCCTTCCTTCCTTCCTTCCTTCCTTCCTTCCTTCCTTCCTTCCTTCCTTCCTTCCTTCCCTTCTTTCCTTCTTTCTTTCTCTTTCTTTTTTTTTTTCTTTTTCCCTTTAGAGATGTTTCCCATTGCTAATAAGTGTCCCAGAGGTGGGACTTCTCAAAGCTCACTGCTGACTAAGGCTCTTTTTATTCCAGACTTTGGGTCACTTGGAAAAAGCAGTGGTTCTTGAACTTACGTTGAAGCATGTGAAAGCACTAACAAACCTAATTGATCAGCAGCAGCAGAAAATCATTGCCCTGCAGAGCGGTTTACAAGCTGGTGAGTGCCCGAGTCTGGTTACCATCACCTAAGAGTTGTAGTGCAAATAGCCTGTGGGCTCAACATCTGGTATAAGAAACATTCCTACAACAAATTGCTTATGCACGTTCGTCGGGGGAGATGTCATTTTATCTCTCCTAAAAGGTCACACTTTTCATTTGGAATGTTGCTGTGTGCCACCTGGCATGAATAGGTATTAGTCAAATGATAAAATATTTCTGTGGCATTTTGGTTTAAGGGTTTCTGGGTTCTGGGACATTTTCCTCCTCCTGTTTAAAATGCCAAGGCACCTCTAATTTGTATCGTGGGTGTTTTACAGTCGGTCTTCTTCGTCCTCTTTCACTGGAGAATAAATCATGGGTATGCCCCAGTGTTTTCCTGTTTCTGTACTTCCTTATCACTCCGTGTGTGGTATGATCCTGGCAGGATGACAGCAGGAGTTTTTCCTGCGTTTCATGTGGTTCCCTGAATAGCCACTAGGTATCTCGGTGCGTTGCACAATCTAATGAAACCACTGAAGTTTCATCATTAGTTTCTACTGACTTCCAGAGAATCACCGTCACCTTGTAACCTTCTAGTTTCACCCATTCCAAATAATACTGAACAGACTGGGAAGAAGTTCTTCTACCCACTGCCTCGTTCCAGTCTTCTCCCCCATCTTTCCAAGACTAGTATGATGAGAATCCCCAAAACCTAGCAAGTGCTTTTTTTCTGCCAGTTCCCTCATGGAAAATAGGAAGATGAACATACCTAATTTCTTGGGGGTTGGGGATAGAATACATGGAAAAGGCTTTGAAATAGCTTTGAAATGTAAAGATCCCAGCATGGCTGTAACTTTTATAATGGAAAATAAGCTTACTTAGGGGACATTGTTCCTTTCTTCTTCATCTCATTTTTTGACTGGTCTCTGTGCAATATGGCAGGGTTGATGTTCTGTAAAATGACTCTTGTTAGAAACATAGGATGTGGGAACAAGCTCTAAATTGAAAAAGAGGGAAAATAGTCCATCTCTATAAATTATGTTCTGTTTCTATGATGGGATATTATGTAGCCATCACAACTCATAGTTTACCTCTGGGTGGCAGGATAATGGGTTATTTTTGTTGTATTTATACTTCTCGGTATAATCCACATTTTTTCTGAGATTACTTTTGGAGTTAGGGACACACATCAGCAGGTGCTGTTAAAAAAAAGGAAAGCTCTCAGTCTTCGAGGTATGGGATGCGGCTGAACCACAGGGCCTTCTGAAATGTCTTCCTTTGGATCTGTGTTGATCCAGGTGAGCTGTCGGGGAGAAATGTGGAAGCAGGTCAAGAGATGTTCTGCTCAGGTTTCCAGACGTGTGCCCGGGAGGTGCTTCAGTACCTGGCCAAGCATGAGAACACTCGGGACCTGAAGTCTTCACAGCTTGTCACCCACCTTCACCGTGTGGTCTCAGAGCTGCTACAGGGTGGTACCTCCAGGAAGCCGTCGGACCCAGCTCCCAAAGCCATGGACTTCAAGGAGAAACCCAGCTCCCTAGCCAAAGGCTCCGAAGGCCCTGGGAAAAACTGTGTGCCAGTCATCCAGCGGACTTTTGCTCACTCGAGTGGGGAGCAGAGTGGCAGTGACACGGACACAGACAGTGGCTACGGAGGAGAGTCCGAGAAGAGTGACTTACGCGGTGAGCAGCCGTACTTCAAAAGTGATCATGGACGTAGGTTCACCATGGGAGAAAGGATCGGTGTTATTAAGCAAGAATCTGAAGAACCACCAACGAAAAAGAGCAGAATGCAGCTGTCAGATGATGAAGGCCATTTCACTGGCAGTGACCTGATCAGCTCCCCGTTCCTGGGCCCGCACCCACACCAACCTCCCTTCTGTCTGCCCTTCTATCTGATCCCGCCGTCCGCAACCGCCTACTTACCCATGCTGGAGAAGTGCTGGTATCCCACCTCCGTCCCAGTGTTGTACCCAGGCCTCAACGCCTCTGCTGCAGCCCTCACCAGCTTCATGAACCCAGACAAGATCTCAGCCCCCTTGCTCATGCCCCAGAGACTCCCTTCTCCCTTGCCAGCCCATCCAGCCATCGACTCTTCTGCCCTGCTCCAGGCTTTGAAGCAGATCCCCCCTTTAAACTTAGAAACCAAAGACTAAGGGACCCTGCCACTCTGCTCTCTTTCCTCCCTACTTCACCCCCCCCCAAAGTGTGACTGCAGCAAGATTGTTCTAGTGTGTATGCTGAGATAATCTGAGGCATGGAGAGAAGATTTGGGGTGCATGTGTGTGCACATGCACGCGTGTGCATTGGTGGGTTGATATAGAACATTAAGGCTCCTTTTGGCATAGGGAAGATATGAAGGATTGCCTGACATCAGGAGATATAGGGGGGATTGTAGCAGACCTCTGGACTTTCCCCCACCCAGAAAATAGCCCCCTCCGATAACATACAAATCAGCTGGATATTCAAAAGCTTCAGACTCTTGGTCTGTGAGTCAGTCTTCATTTTGGGAGCCGGGTCTGTGGCTTTGAGAAAAAGGTACTTTCAAAAGAGGGCTTTCCAGAGCGCAGTTCCCAGCCAGCTCTTATGACCCCACCCTTCTCCCTTTTATTGTTGCCGTGACTCACCAAATGGGGAGAGGGCAGCCACACTGAGCTTTCTGCTAAGCGGTGAGGTAGCAGACACTGGCATAGCACGGTAGTGGTTTGGGGAGATTTCTACAGGTCTGCCCCCCGCCCCTGCCTCTGACGAATAAAGAGAATGTAGTTCCCTACTCAGGCTTTCGCAGTGATTAGCTTAATAAGGAACTGAAAAGGGCCCCCTGATAAAGCTGAGCTGCCAGGGAAAGAGGGAGGAGTCCCTGGGGCCTCTGGCACCTGTTTCTAGGTCTCACCTAGAAAACAATCTCGCTGTCTGGAGAACCAAAGCAGGGTCTGAGAGACGCAGGTGCCTAAGTTCCGGTACCCCCAAAATGCATAAAGCCAAGTAACAAACTGCTACCTTCAACAAGCAGAGCTAGATTCGGGTTTCAGTTCTATCCTTAAAACTGCTTTTCACCAAGCTTAGCTTAAAGGCCTAACCAGCTCTCGGCACAGCAAGATCCTTTCTGCAGGCTAATTCCCCTCACCGACGGCATAGGGAGCGTCCTTATTGCTAAAAAGGATTCTGCCTCCTTCAAAGAAGTTTTATTTTTGGTCCAGAGTACTTGTTTTCTGACTTGTCCAGCTAGCCCTGCACCAGCTTTTCAAAATGCACTATGCTTGATCGCCGATCGTGTTTTAACTTTTTCTTTTCCTGTTTTTATTTTGGTATAAAGTCATTGCCTTTATTTGTAAAACTGTTATAAATATATATTATATAAATATATTGAAAGGAAAATGTTTCAGATGTTTATTTGTATAATTACTTGATCTACAAAGTGAGAAAAATGAATGTATCCCTGTTTTTGAAGAGAAGAATAATTTTTTTCTCTAGGGAGAGGTACAGTGTTTATATTTTGGAACCTTCCTGAAGGTGTGAAATTGTAAATATTTTTATCTATGAGTCAATGTTAAGTAGTTGTTTTAAAATACTTAATAAAATAATCCTTTTCCTGTGGAAGAGAAAGATGGTCTTTTGCATCTTTAAAAATAGCTCAGTCGTGTGATATGGCTGTCCCCTGCCCTCCCCTTTTGGCTGTAGGCAACAACTACTTAATCTTGGCATCATTTCATTCAGCTTTTAATGTGCCTCGTATTCAATCAGACAGAATAAACTTGGTCAATTTCGTAGGTAAATATTTAATTTGTTTTTTTTAACTAACCCTTGTTAGAGGTTCATAGTCACCCTGTGCCTCCTTTCAGAGTTAAGCAAAAAAAAAGTACATTGTCCCCCACCCCAGCCTGTTTTTGACACGGTCCTTAAGAACTTGACAGAAAATCAAAATGTGGGATGGTTGGGCCTTAGGGTCTGGGGAGCTTGCTGGAGGGGGAGGCACATGGAGAAAAGATTTAATGGATTATTATGCAATAATAATTGGTGCTGGGGATAGTACCTCTGCCAAGCCAGTCTAACTTTTTTGAGTCTAGCAATGTCTAATGGATTTGCCATATCCTGCCTTATTGCTGCTGAAGGCAACATTCCATAATTATGTTCTACATCCTTCCTGGACTTCCTCTCATTGGGTGTGTTTGTGCGTGAATGAGTATCGGTGTTCCTTAGTCAAGCGCTCTTATGAGAAAAAAAAAAAAAAATTCCACGGGAAAAGAAGTGGGAAATGACCCGGTCGAGTATTTTTGCTTTTCCCCTTCTCCCTCTAAGGGATGTCCTGATGGCCAGTGCCTGGTTTGCCATGCTTCAGATCCCCAAGCACAGGAGTCTTCTAGAACCCTCTGGGTGTCTGGAGCCTAAGTGGGGAACGTGCCCCCAGGGAGTTCTCAGCCAGGTCAAGGCACCACCTGCCCGGCAGGACTTTGCTTCCCTGCCATCTGATGAGCCAGCAGGCAAGAGTGAGAGTTGCCTGGCTGTGTGAGATGCAGAATGCAGGCTGTAAAAAACACAGTCCTCCCCAGGCAGCATGGTGTCACGGAAGGAACCCTGCACAAGGCGTCCAGAGATGAGCTGGTGGCCCATCATCTCCCTTCCATGCCTATTCTTGATTAGGTAAAATAAGGATCCTGAGCCCTTCTCACATGTTCTACAGCAAGACAGATGGCAAATTCTGGAAATCCCGCTTTCTCCTAGATCCTTAGGGCCTGGGCCTCCAGCTCTCCTACCTGCTAAACCCCTGAAATGCCTCCATGAATTGCTAGGCTTTTCTGGCTAGACTTCTTTGGTAAAAACCCAAACAAGTCAAGTTTATTCTGGAGATGGAACATGGGGTTGACACCAGGGCCAAACTCGTTTTGCATGCCTCTGTCTCTTTCCGGGGCCATAACTCAAGGAGTAGCTGTGGGGACTGAAGGAAGTGGTTGGAGCAACCTCAACTAAGAAAGGGTTTGAGGCTTCAGACACATCCTCAGCCCAGAATCCCCACCCCCCCCATGAGCCTGCCCTGTCGCACACCCCTAAAAGTAGCAGCTGTCCCTCTGCCCCCTTTGCCCTTGCCTTGCCTTCTAGCCCAGTTGCAGCAGGTTCCAAGTAGCTCAGAGGGAGATGCGAGGAGAGGCTTCCACCCCAGTCCTTTGCCCATTGGGTACAAAGAGGGCCTCTGTTTAAAAGGGGTGTGAGTGTGAGGGGGTGAAGTGCTGGGCTCCGAGGCGGCCGGAGAGAGGTGGCGAGAGGCAGGGGAGCCCAGGCCTGGGATCTGGCCGCCTTCAGACAGGGCGTGACCCTCCGGGCCTGCCGGGATGGTCTCACCCAGCGCTGACCTGCCTCGCCTGTTGACACAACGTCACGTTTCCGACTGCAGCCCTTTCATGTGCGGCCCGCGGCTAAATGCGGCTGCCGGTTCCTGGAAGCAGACGTGCCTGGCACCGCGTCAGCAGAAACCTGATCCCCGGGGAAGCTTGGCACGGCCACGGGATCGCTCGGCCCCCAGAATAGGGCCTGGCAGCGGGTGCCGGGCAGCCCCCCCTCCCCCCTTCGCACCCAGAAGGAAGGAATCCAAGCGCTTTCCCTCAGGGGTGGGGTGGGGAGCTGGATTTAGTCAGGGCATTGGGACAAGGGCCTAATTAACTACAAGCTAGGAGCTTCCCACGGGTCATCGCTCGTTAATGAAGCCTAACAACCTAGAAGCACCATTATAGGTGGTATTACAACTCGCATTTTGGAGACAAATAAAAGCAGGCTCAGAGAGGGGAGGTAATTTGCCTGAAGTTACACAGCTTCTGAGTTGCCGAACCATTAATATTGCATTGTGGCTGTCAATCGGATCCAAGGTGAAGACTTTCAGAGTTTGGTTGTTGATAATAATAATAAATAATAATAATAATAATAATAATAACAGAACTGTTAACAGCAAACACATTTGTAGAATTTATAATTTGCCAGGCACTCTTCAAAGCGCTCCACATACAATCACTGAATTCTTGCAGCAACTCCATGAGATAGGTACAAGTATTATTCCCCTTATGTGGTTTTTAAAAATATAGGCACAGAGAGGTTAAGTAACTTGCATAAGGTAGCACAGCTCCAGAGGTGAAGTGGAATTTAAACCCAGGCAGTTTGACTCCCGTGTCTATGTGCTTAACCCACATTGCCCTTCTAGTGAAATGATAGTAATAATAATAAAAGTAAAAGTAGTGATAATTACAATTGTTCTTACCATATTTTGAGTACTTTCCCTGTGCCAGGCACGATATTAAGCACTTTGTGTGAATTATCTCTATTTCCTCTGGTAACTATGAAGGGTAGATATTAATATGCCCATTTTACAGATGAGAAAACTGAAGCTCAGAGAGAGGAAATGCCTTATCTGAGGTGACACTTCATGGAAGAGACAGCAAGTATCATGCCCTTTCTCTGGTATGGAACTGCTTCTAAACTGAGCTACTGCTGGGCTTGGATATGCATGAACTCATGTAACCCTCACAACAGCCCCGTGGAGTAGGTACGCTGATCCCCCGTGGGCAGAAGACGTAACAAACGCGGAGAGTAAAGTTACTTGCCCAACTCTTTGTTTCCTTACAAATGCCCCCACATACCATCCTGCAGTACAAAAATAAAATGGGCCCATTCTCTAAAGAACGAAACCCACAGGAATTGGGGGACATTTAGGGGCATCCTACAGATTGTGCTGATAATCAGGATCTGGGTTTGAGGAAATTCTATGTCCTATTTTCTGCGGTGGGAATAGGGGTGTGCTCACATCTCTCTTAAGGTTAGGAGAGGTAGGGTAGAGATGCCTGGGGCCCAAGGCAGCTCTGCCAGAGGGAAGGAGGGAGAGAGGGAGGCAGACTGAGTTCCACCCTCTCTCCCTAGAAGGGGACCTGAGCAGGCTTGGAGACCAGGCCACTGCACCCACTGTCCCTCTCAGCTTCCTTCAGCCCACCCAAACCCTAGCGTGTCTCTCCAGCCCTTGACCACTTCCCCAGTGCTCGGCTGGTGAGGGGTAAGCAAGAGGCCACCGCACTTTGGAGAATAGAGCCAGTATCTCTGGTTGGAGTTTGCCTTGCTATTAGTTTCTCCTCAGGGCTCTGGAACCCACTGCAAGGTTCAAAGAGACAGAATGTGTTGA